TTCTTCTTGACATTAAGCCTCAATCCATATTGAAGGCTGCAGTCCTTGACCCTCAGTAACAAGTGCTTCAGGTCCTCCTCAGTTTCAGCAAGCAGGTTTGTGTCATCTGCATAATGCAGATTGTTGATAGATCTTCCACCAATCCTGACCCCCATCACAAAACAATAGATTTTGTTTTGTCCCCTACTTGCCAGGTGTGTTTTGAGCCACTCCTTGCCCTGCTCCACCAGCATTTACATCTACTCCCACCTACTCCATTCAACAACAATCTCCCCTATCCAGCCCTTGATGAGATGGCCTATATGTCAATCTTTCTGGCTTCTGTGTTTCCTAATGCCTCAGGCTGTTGCCAGTTTCTTCCACTAAGAGCAATATCTCTTGACTTCAGGAGTTTTGAACTTCTGCTCCAGTATTGACTTCTTGTGCCTTAGGGCATCTTCTCCTATAAGAGTTTCCTAGGGGAGGCTGATGAATCCTATTGATTAATATATTTTGTTGTTGTTGATTGCCTTCTAATCAAGCACAACTCATAGCAACCCTATGAACAAAAGGCTTGAAGCACTTCTACAACTATCAACATTTATTAAAGTTCTTATGGTTTCTGGAAGCATGTTATTTAGGAAGTGGATGTCACTTATGCTCTCAATACATACATACATACACACACACACACACACACACACACACACACACACACACATCCCACTGCTGAGTTGATTCCAAATTATGATGAAACTTGTTTGTGTTTCTGAAGTTAAAACTGCTCAAATTTCTCCCAAAGAACCACCAATGGGCTTCATCTACTGACCTTACAGTTAGTAGTCAGAAGATATGATGCATCATGCCACTGAGGCTCACTCTCTCTGGATTTCTAAGCTCTTTATAGTAGTCAGTATATTGCTAATTAAACCTTTTAGAAACATTCGAATGACTGAATCTCTCTTGTAGCATCCTTTACAATTCAAGATGTTTGTTTCTATTAAATTGCTTCTTGCTAGACACGGCCAATCACTTCATCCTCAAAGATAATCTAGAATCCTGCTTATCAAATTTTTGCTGTCCCTCTTAACTTTTCTAAACTCTTTAAACAATTCTAAAAGAAGCCAAGAAGCCTTCACTAAAAAAGTTAAAGAGGATAAACGGAACTCAACAAGTCAAGTCTCTTCAGGGGGAATCTGGTTAGTCCGCGTGGCCCAGCAAACTCTCTCTCTCTCTTTTTTTTTTTTTTTTGAGGATTAAGATAATGCTAAATTTAATCTGCCAAATATACAAGTTGAGTTTGTAGAGCGTGTTTGCCTGGGTGCTACACAGTAAACATAGGTTTCCTGAAATGACTGATGGGTAGGATTAACAAGGGGCCCTGGTCAGGTGGGTGGGTGGGTGGAGGGCAAGGAAAGGGAAGTGCTGGGACCCTCGGGAACCCAGGACACAGCCCCTCTCATGAGCGAGCACCCAGGCAACACAGACTGGGGCTGGATGTCATAAACTGGTCAGCAGCCACCCCAGGCCCGC